GTAAGATAGATGGCTCCTGCATCCCTCCAACCTTATTTTACTCCACTCTTCCTCTTGTTCCTTAATGCTAAGCCACACTGGTCTTATTTACTATTCCCATTGCCTACATCACTCTTCTATTTATTTCCAAGCTAGCTGATTCTCATTCTTTAGAATAAATCTTAGATTGAATGTTATCTGTTCAAAAAGGTTTTCCTGGACCATCCATCCCTGACAACTCTACAGGGACTCTATCTCACCCCACACTGTTTATTTTCTTTGTAGCATTCATCAGAATTTAAAATTATTATGTTTTTTTCATTTTATTACTTATCATTTGCCCTCATAAGAATATAAACTCCATTGGGCAGAGATACAATCTGTTTCCTTCAACACTGTACTTCCAGTGCCAGGAGCAGAAGGGACACCAAATAAATATTTGCTGAATGAATAAAGAAACAACTAGTTGTTAATTAAAAGGCAATTTGTGATAAGAAAACACAGAACTTCGGAATTTCCCAAAATGTAGGCTCTACACATTTAAAATATTTCAAATTATTAAGTGAGCTGAATTCTTTAATAATGAGATCTAACTGGCCAAATTAAAGTTTACTAAATTATCTCTAAAGAATCTGGCTAATTTGAAACATTTTCAAGGTAGTAACTCAGTAAAAACTTCAGGCCAATATCCTTGATGAACACTGATGCAAAAATCCTCAACAAAATACTAGCAAACTGAATCCAGCAGCACATCAAAAAGCTAGTCCACCAAAATCAAGTGGGCTTTATCCCTGGGATGCACTGTTAGTTCAATATACACAGATCAATAAATATGATTCACCACATAAACAGAACTAAAAACAAAAACCACATGATCAGAACCAATTGATGCAGAAAAGACTTTTGATAAAATTCAGTCTCCCTTCAAGTCAAAACTCTCAACAAACTAGGCATTGAAGGAACATATCTCAAAATGGTAAGAACCATATATGACAAACCCACAGCCATCATCATACTGAACAGACAAAAGCTGGGGGTATTCCCCTTGAAAACAGGGACAAGAAAAGGATGCACTCTCTCACCACTCCTATTCAACATAGTGCTGGAAGTCCTAGCTAGAGCAATCAGGCAATAAATAAATAAATAAATAAAAGGATCCAAATAGGAAGATAACAAGTCAAACGATCTCTGTTTTCAGATGATATGCTTCTATACCAAAAAAATCCCAATCTCTGCCCAAAAGTTCCTAGACCTGACAAACAACTTCAGCAAAGTTTCAAGATACAAAATCAATACACAAAAATCAGTAGCATTTCTATACGCCAACATCACCTAAGCTGAGAACCAAATCAAGAACACAAACCTATTCACAATAGCTACAAAAAGAATAAAATATGAAGGAATATGGCTAACCAGGGAGATGAAAGATTTCTATGAGAGTTAAAAAACACTGTTCAAGGAAATCAGAGATGACACAAATGGAAAAAAAACATTCCATGCTCATGGATAGGAAGAATCAATATTGTAAAAATGGCCATACTGCCCAAAGCAATTTACAGATTCAACGCTATTCCTATTAAACTACCAATAACATATCCATCAACAGATGAATGGATAAAGAAAATGCAGTAGATATACACAATGGGATATTATTCAACCATACAAAATAATGAAATTCTGTCATTTGCAATTACATGGATGGAACTGGAGTACATTATGGTAAATGAAATAAGCCAAGCACAGAACAACAAATACTGCATGTTCTCACGCATATGTGGGAGCTAAAAAAAAAAAGGGGATCTCCAATAATAGACTTAAAGAGAGCCAAATCAATAACAA